TTTTTTTTTCAAAAAACAGTCGCCCCTCGCCAGACAATAGGTGTGTTCGCGTATTATACTATCAAGTGCAAAATTCAAATGAACTTTTATCTGTTCTCTCTAAGGGCCCTGTCACACGGCCAGTAATTATCACGATGTTTGGATCGCGATCCATATTGATGATGGCGCAAAAAAAAATTTTTTATTTTGTACGAATAATTTACAGATAATACTTTCCACAATTTTTTTTTAATTTCCAATGATAATTTAAATATTTTCAACATGAAAAAAGGAGGTAGTTCCATTGTCAATTTTTCGTCGCCATATTAACAGCCTGACAATTAAGCAGATTGTGACATTTTATTAATTATTAATTTTTGGTTTATGTAAAAACATTTTGTTCTTAGAATCGAAATTTGAACTAGCAAAAGGTATTTTGTTGGATACGGTTCGATTATTTGTACAATAACTTTTGGTTATTGGGTCGAAACGCGTAACCTGAATTTTAACATGCATGTATGGTCAAACGCTAAAACGTTAATTTCAAATAAAGACAAATTTATTAAAATATTCGGTTTGAAATATGAAATTTTTTGTAAAAAATACTGCGCGAAGGCTTACAATGCGGAAAAGTATGTTGTGCAAACATCCAGTGGTTGGCGTAACCCGAGTTTACATTTTCCCCGTCAAAAAGGGGCGGAAAGGAAAAGCGTGACAAGAAGACCTAAAGTTCGGTTTGTTCTCTTTCTAATGGGTTGGGTTTTATGGGCCACACCCCCTTCGCCTCTGCCAAAACCATTGCACAAATTCCTTTTTTGTTTTTGAAAGAGAAGAGGGCTAATGCTCAGTTAGTTGATAATTGTAATCCTAGTTTGCGTACTAATAATAAGTCATGAATTTGATTTCACAACCCCTTCAATATAATAATAATAATAGATTGGCGCTTATACATATGTTAGTGTTTGGCCGAGCTTCTCCTCCAATTTGTGACGTGCGCCTTGATGTTGTCACACAAAGCGGAGGGACCTACAGTTTTACGCCGACTCCGAACGGCGATTGTATTTTTATGAGAAGCTGTTTTTCATGGCAGAAATACACTCGGAGGTTTGCCATTGCCTGCCGAGGGACGACCGCCGTTAAGAAAAAAACATTTCTTCTATAGTTTTTATTTTTTTTGCGATGTTGCTTTGACCAGAGCTTGAACCCAGGTGCCGTGGAGTGGAAGCGCGCACTGCTTACCACTACACCACAGCGGCCCCTTCAATATAGAACAGTGAAATATATTTTAGTTATACGTCTTTGAAAGTCATAAGGCCCTTGGGTACCAAAGTAAATTCCACTTTCAAGTTACTTGAAACAGAGAACGTTTGTAAATTATTTTATAATTGACTCTTTATTACCGCCAAACAATATAAGGTTTGTTCCACAAGCTAGTCGAAGTCACTTCGAGTTGCACATACATACGCGTTCCACAAGTAAGTTTTAGAGTTTATTTGATATACGCTCACAGTTTGAACTTTGTTCGAGTTTTTATACAAGTAGAGTGTGGAACAAACCAATTATGTATGTATAATATTTAGAAGCTGTAAAAATTTTACCTAGCCCCATAAGCTAGGTAAAATTCTGATGTTTGTATTCACCACGAGAAATATTAAATTTTTGCTTTCATCCGTCAAAATTCCATCTTCCGACTTACATAAGTAATTTCGTTTTTAATAGTTTTTATAAGCTGCTTCTTTTTAATTTCTTGTTATCCTTTCTGGAAATTTGAGATTTTGCAAAAATAAGTTCTTGTAAATTCAATACAAGATTATAGAAACTGGGAATTGCTTCCTACAACAACTACTTTTTGCGGCGATGCCACCCTTCGCCACGGTTTTACGTTCTAGAAAAAGTTTCTGTTTCCGATGCATGCACTGACCAAAACTCAGGAGAATATTTCGCGTTATGATTATTTCCAGTAATAAAAGTTTTTTCAAACTAATTAAAAATACTGAAAATCAAAATTCTGTATTAAAATATAATGTAAACAATGTTAAATAGGACATGTCATTACTTTGAAAAAGTGCGCACTTTTTAAGGTAATGACATGTTCAATTTAACATTGTTTACATTATATTTTAAAACAGAATTTTGTAATTCCGTATTTTGAAAAGCAGAGTTGTCAAAAGAAGAATTTTCAAAAAGCAGAATTTTCAAATCTCATAATTTTGAGAAGCAGAATTTTGTTAAGCAGAATTTCGTGTTCCGAATTTTGTAGTACCAGAATTTCGATACCAACCCCAGTCCTTAGCCAGATAAAAAAAATTTAGGTCGTTCCGGTTACGTAGAGGCGACTGTCGTGGAAACAACATCGAAATGTGTAATTATAACAGGAACAATCGTATCCGATATAGAAAACTATAATAGTCCTGGTTAGCTACATTGTGAAATAATCATATCACATACGGACACTAAAAATTTTAAATACGTTCACCAAAATTTTTATTATACTAAAAATAAAGATTTTGGGAGGTGGTTATCGAAAAAAAACTAAGTGCGCCTGGGCCACACTGGTGAAGTGAAACTTACGTTACATACATATCTATTTTGTCTCATAACCATTATACATACATACATATGTACATACATACATCAGCTTTTTCTTAAGGTTATATTTTTTGCCTTTTTTTCTATCTAGATCTCTACCTCTACCCATGTTCGTTCTAATTATATTTATGTTATTCTGTTTTCCTTTATCTTCATTTTTATCTTTATACTCTATCGATGAAAAAACCGATAAAATTATCGATAACAAAATCGATGAAAAATTCGATACAAATTTCTATAGCACAATCGATAATAATACTGGTATCAAAATATCGACAACAAAATCGACCAAAATATCCATAACAAAATCGATAAATTTCGATAACAAAATCGATAAATTTCGATAACAAATTCAATAAATTTCGATAGCAAAATCGATCAATATCGATAACCAAATCGGCAAAAATATCGATAACAAAATCCATTACAAAATCGATAACAAATCGATAAAAATATCGATAGAAAAATTGATATCAAATATCGATAAAAATTCCTATAAAAAATCTATAAAAATATCGATAACAAAACCTATAAAAATATCGATTACTTTATCGATAAGTCCCGAGAATCCCGAATACCTCTAAAATCTCAAAATAGTTCCCAGATTGAGTTTCTGTGTCTCCCTCTAGATCCTTTCCTCTTTAATTACCTTTTACTTTACTTTAATCTTTCTTCCCCTATCATCACCTTAACTTTTATCGGTATCCTCATCCTCCCCTTTGTCTTTACTTTAATGTTTATCATTTTCTTCATCTACATAATCCCCTTCACCTTTGCCCTTATATATATAAGTAAAGTTTTTAAATTTACCTTGGTCTTAATTTTTGCCTTTATCTTTACAGATCTTTGTTTTTGTTTTTATTTTTGTTTTGCCTTTATCCTTTTCTTTCTAAGTGTTATTCTTTAAACTTTTATTAGCAAATTTTTGTTAAATTAATACCGTATGCATACACACAAGAAGCACTTGTTTCAGCCCCAACCATTTCCGTTGCACCATTTCCGTTGAATTTGCCAATTTACTCCCAACCAACCAACCGCCACTAAAGAGGTTTCACTTAAAAAAATATAAGCATTTTTAAGACAAGATATTATTTATTTTTGAAAGGTAGATGCTAACATAACTATTTTATTTATAATCCCAAATATATGATATAAAATCCCCTCCACCAAAAAACTTAGATTAGACTTAGATTTTCCCCAAATGTATGGATCGCGTTTTGAAAATGCTACACGTTCAATATTTATTGACGGTTTTGCGATCCGCGATCCAGGGGCCTTACTATATATTGCGAATCGAAAAACAATGCGATTCGAAAGCCAGATGCGATCCGAACTGATATTGATACCACGCAACACTTGCGCATTCGCTTTCGCAAATGAGTATGAAAATGTGGCAACAATATGTTCGAAATTTACATAAATGACACTTGAAATGTCAAAAATTTTAAATGAAATAAAATATCGGTAAATTTGTATTTCTGAAGCATTATAATAACTTAATATAATATTTTATAAAATGGATTCAGTGGCTTGGTGGTTTGAGGAGGATGAAAATGAAGTGAAAATTCAGCGAAGGTATCTAAGGAATCAATCGGATATGCTGAGTCTTAATGACAAAACGTGAGAAAATGTGTGCATGTATTTCTTAAAAATAACGCTAAATTAAATGTTTTTAACAGATTTGTCCAAAACTTTCGCCTAAATAAAGAGGCCTTCTTATACGTGTTGGATAACATTGACTCGGAGCTAAAAGCGCCTCAACGCTGTACCGCAGTACCATCGGTCCTGAAGGTGGCAGCTTCTTTGAAATTCCTGGCTCAAGGTGGTTACCAGCATCAAATTGGGCAGGATTTTCAAATAGGGTTCGCACAGCAGACAGTATCAAAATATTTGTGGAAAGTTTTCGGGGCAATTGAAAAAGTTCTATGTCCAAAACACATTGTTTTCGCAATGACGGAGAATGAAAAAAGAGATGCAAAACGACATTTTTTTCGCACATGTAGCATTCCGGGTGCTGAACCGCTCAGGAACAATTTACTACAAGAGCGTGCAATTGCTGGCTTATGCCGATGACATCGACATCATCGGTAACAAAAACCGCGAAGTCTGTTCTGCCTTTTCCAAGTTGGATAGGGAAGCAAAGCGCATGGGTCTGGTGGTAAACGAGGACAAGACGAAGTATCTCCTGTCATCAAACAAACAGTCAGCACATTCGCGCCTTGGCACCCACGTCACTGTTGACAGTTACAATTTCGAGAAAGTAGAGAATTTCGTTTACTTGGGAACCAGCATTAACACCGATAATAATGTCAGCATTGAAATCCAACGTAGAATCACTCTTGCCAACAAGTGCTACTTTGGACTGAGTAGGCAATTCAGGAGTAAAGTCCTCTCTCGACGTACGAAAACCACGCTCTATAAGTCACTCATCATGCCCGTGCTGGTATATGGCGCAGAAGCATGGACAATGACAACATCCGATGAGGCGGCTCTTGGGGTGTTTGAGAGAAAGATTTTGCGGAAGATTTACGGTCCTTTACGCGTTGGCGACGGCGAGTACCGCAGACGATGGAACGATGAGCTGTATGAGCTTTACAACGATATGGACATAGTGCAGCGAATTAAAATACAGCGGCTCCGCTGGCTTGGTCATGTCGTTCGAATGGACACCGACGCTCCAGCTCTGAAAGTATTCAACTCGGAACCCGCTGGTGGTAGCAGAGGAAGAGGGAGGCCCCCACTGCGATGGAAAGATCAGGTGGAAAAGGACTTGGCTTCACTTGGCGTTTCCAATTGGCGTCAGTTGGCACAGAGGAGAAACGACTGGCGTGCTTTGCTGAATTCGGCCAAAATCGCTTAGGCGGTTACAGCGCCAAAAAAGAAAGAAAGAGCATTCCGGGTGTTGTAGGAGCCGTAGATGGCACACATATCCAGATGATTCGTCCGGTTGAAAATGAACATTTGTATTTCAATAGGAAATTGAAACATAGTTTGAATGCTATGGTGGTAGGTGCTTTACTAATAGAACTTATGAAAGCATGAATGCATGAAGATGCTATATGCATTTAAACATTTCTTAGTCGTAAATAAATTTTAAACTTAATTTTGCGACATATCTCCTTCATCCATTCATGTCTTCATATGTACGTAAGCATATAAAAATATAATTTTATATGAAACATTTTACAACTTAAGATATGTGACCATAATATGAAGATACGATCGGTGGACGGACGATACGGAGGTGCTTGCCATGACTCCCATATATGGAATATTTTGGGAGAAAGGAGATATTTGAAAAGAAACTTTGAAAATGGAGAAAAAGGAACGTGGATTTTAGGTAAAAATTATATTTGAAATGCATGTAATTTTGCATATACATATATTTACATTATAAAATTTTATTTTTGTTTTTAGGAGACTCAGGCTATCCATTAGAGTCTTGGATTTTAACTCCATATCGAAACGTTGCCAAAAACAGCCATGAAGCAAAATTTAACGAAAATTTTGCGAAAGGGTGGTGCATAATAGAAAGGTGTTTTGGTGTACTTAAAGCAAGATTTAGATGTCTTTTAGCATCTAGAGAGCTCCACTATGCTCCTCCAAAATGTGTGCAAATACTAAATGCATGCTGCGCTTTACATAACATTTGTATTTTGTACAAAATCGCTGCTCCTTCCGATATACCGGTTGAAGAAGATTTCTTAACAACTTATATGTATTCTTCAGTGGACATCGATTTACGAAGCGCTGCTGTAAATATCAGAGACGACATCCGAAATAATATGTTTACTCGAGTTACGTTTATTCAATAGAAAACATTTTTATTAGTAATTCATTTATTTTTTCAAGTAAATCGCGTATAGCATAACTGTTTAACACACAAACATTTAATAAAAACTAGTGATAAAAACAATACCTATTTCATTTGGCATTGCAGTAAAACTATTATAAAACAAAACCGTACTTCATTGCACATAACACATGCACACACACTTTGAAAGTGAGTACACAAAAGCGATTACACTTCCTTCTTGCAACTCTCAATGTTTTTCGTGCTATTTTATTATTCTTTATAGTAGCATAGAGACAATGTAACAAAAACTATATGTATCTAAATTTAAGACTATGTAAATTTATATTTTAGAAAAAGTTTAAAACTTGAATACGTATAGTTTTTTTTAACATAAACTATGGTTATACAAAAAAATAATAAAATATTACGAAAAACATAGTTGAGAGAGTTGCAAGAAGGAAGTGTGATCGCTTTATAAGTCACTGGATATTAATTAATTAACATTATTTTTCTAGTACTTTAACCATCTAATTCTCTCCTTTGTAATTTTATTTGTAAAAATTGCTGCTTTAATTTTAGCTGCTTAATCATTAGTTTCCTCTTCTCCAAGTCCATTTCCTTCTTGCAATTAAATTTCCCAATTTGTAGTTTTAATTTCTTCTCTTTTAGTTCATTGTTTTTCTTCATATGCTTTCCCAAGTATTTTAGATCATCGTGAATCTTTCCTAATTCAGAAAGACAATCTCCGTGGAGCGTCGCTTGGTTTTCAACTTGTTTTCGGAGGAGTGCATCTTTCTCCACAACTTTACTTACCCGCCGTGTTGTTTTTACTGGAGTCTGCTGATGGGATGTAGCATTTTCGTTGCTCTCCACGCATATTTCCATCACATCATCACAGTCTGCAAAATTTTCTCTAAATGCTTCTGAGCTTGTTGGACGTTCAGCATCTTGGCTGGCATAAATACTTCCGAAATTTGACGCGCCTACTGTGCCATCAATTGCCTCCCCCATCGCCATTAATCTCTCCACTTGTTCTTCCAATGGGGTTAGCGAGCAATATTTTGATGGCCCGCCACCCGTGTTGGCTAAACTATTTTTAGTTTTTCGTAGCTTCGACTTTAAATGGTTTTTGTAATCTGCCCACACCTTTAAATATTGGATAAATACTTTAATCTTATTATTTTGGGGAAACAAGTACTTTCTTACCTTTTTCCATCCAGCAACATCGCGTGTTGGGGGGCCAGCAGCGTTTAACCAAAGTTTTCCACAAGGAGTTACTGGTACTTTTCCCGTTTGCGGTTTTTAAAATGCCTTTTGCCAGCTGGGAATGATTCTCCATGAAATATACCATGATTTCAAATTGCCTTTGCTTTGTGTGTGCGTTTTTTGATTTAATTTCCCTAAAATAATTTGTTTTTATAAAAAATATACAAAATAAGAAATTTTTACTTACATTTTTCAACCGTTCTGAATGCTAATTTTCTATCGAATGACATTTGCTATTTTTGAATGAATGTTAATATCGTATTCGCATTTCGTAGTAACGTGAAAATGACAATGTTCGAAACGAAATACTATTCTATAATAGTAGTAGCGTTTCTTCAGTTTTTTTTTCTTTCAAATCGCAATACATAGTAAGGCCCCAGATTGCAAGTTTTTAGAAATTTTGCGATATTGATCGCGGTCCATCAATATTGCATGCTGCAGCGTCAATAAATATCGCGATCCTTGGATCACGGCAATAAATACTGACCATGTGACCGGGAAATGTTTGCAAAAGTACGCGAAAGCAAAACTAGGAAAAACTTGCAAGTTTTTAGAACAGCGGATCGAAATTTTATTTACATACAAAAGCATAACACGAAATGAATATAAATTAAAAGTGTGCCTAAAGCAATTTGCTAAGCAAAAGTAAGCAAATGAGTATATCGTTACCTGAAATGTAAAAAGACGTAACAACGTCGGAACTGAAATGACGAAAGTCGTGACTATTCAGCCTCATTGCGTAAGTCGTAAATTAGGCTGAATTGTACGACTCGACAACATTCGCATTGTCCACTGTCGTGCTGAAATAAGTAAACGACGAAAATTGTCGAAAACTATGCAGTGCTGCCAAGTTCTTCCGTTTTAATACACTAGTCGAGTGGAAATTTTAGGCAATGACGCTAAATTTTCGATACGATTCGGCACGACTCTCGCAATGGGGCTGATATTTTTAAACTTTTTTAACCGACTTCCAAAAAAGGAGGAGATTATCAGTTCGTCGGAATATTTTTTTTATGTATGTTACCGCATAACTTTGGACCACGTCAACCGAATTTGATAATTCAATAATTTTTACATCGAAAAGGTAGTGTCTCATAGGTGGTCCCATACTAATCTGGTTTACATAGATCCGATCATTGGATCATGAAATATATATGTATATACATATTTTTTTTTATATGAGAGTTGAAGTCGGTTGTTTTTTGCTTAAAAATTACTTGTCAAAAAATTATTTGGGAGTTGTAATTCGATGAAATCCATCATATCAATCAAAAACAGAATTTTGGAATTTTTTATTAGCTACGACTTTTTGTATTTCAGCGACGATGTTTGTTATGTTTTTTTTGCATTTCAGGTGACGATATGTTTTCTTTCGAAATATTTACAGTTCTAAGTTAAACTTAGGCCCCTATTATGAGTTGCATTCGATCTTCGACTGCGGTCGAAAGTGCTGATCGAACGAATTTTCATTTGGTATTATGACGATAATTCGATCAAGAATAGCGCTATTGTGAATTTCGCTCGTTTAGGTTGTTCACAATAGTATATTTTTCACCGCTGAGAATCTTTGTTTACAAATCGGACAAACTAAAAAATATACATACGTTTATGTAAATTTGTGCAAATTAAAATGAAAAAAAAGAAAGTTTATAAAAACGTGGTAAAATGAGTACAATGAAGTTCCGGTTCAACGATTCGTCAGAGGATGAGAGCTTAGTAAACTGGCTAGGAGTAGCAAATGTTTAAGAGAGTTTAAGTAAAGTCTTTCGAATATATAATAAAATATATTTAAGAAATTTGTCTACAGATTTAAATATTAGAAACTTCCGACTGTCTAAAGAGGCGTTTGTGAGCCAAATCTATTTAAAATATTTTAAAACAATCCACAGCTCTATGATTTGTTCTCAGAGATCGTGCCAACTGAGTATTAGGATCTTCTTTCACAAGTGTGTTTGTGTGTGAGCTTGTGTTTTGTATTCACGACGTTAAAACTGTATGAACCTGATAAAAAATTATTGTTTAAAATTAGTGTCTAGCCGCCAAAAAGTAAGAAAACAAATGCAAAATCATACATTTTTTACAATTTTCTAACACTTCGCTACACCATCGAAAGCAAAATTCGATACTCAACGAAAATTTCGACACAGTTGCATAGCTCCATAATACGAATTTCACTTTCGATCTTCGCTAGCCAGCGAATAGCCTTATTTTAACATGGGCTTGTCATTGGCGGTAAGCCCTTACCCGCAGCATTACCTTCAAACGAAGGGAGAACGCATGGATAAACAGAATCCAGAGAAGCGAACAAAGAATGCCTTACAGAGAAACTAATGTAGAATGCCTAGATAAGTACATACTTATTTATATTAAATTGAAATCAGAAAATGTCTTAAAAGATTAAAATTAAATTAAATTTTTATAAATCAGTTTTTATACATACATATGTACGTATTTATGTATTTAGATTTTACTTAAAAATCGCTATGTAGATACATGCATATTAAATTAAGCTTAAAATTGTACTTCTCACTCTTGTACTTCACTTCAATGACTCACTTCAACTTCGCTGCAAATTGAACAAAGCAAAACATGATTTTTANCGGACGGACAGACAGTCAGCTCTTAATCGATTTCTCTTTTCATTCTGATAATTTATGTATACCTACATTTGTCTATCTCGATTCGTTTTACCTGTTACAAATAACCGTTATGTGAACAAAATTATAACACACTTGTGCGCGTCTTTTCAACAAAATATTGATTTATTCGCTTATGGAACAATAAAACCGTTCAGAAATAAAAATTTAATATCATTTGAACAAAACAAAGTTACACTGACGATCAAAACTGAGTGCATGGTGATTTTATTTTAAATATTTAGTATGTTTTTCAAGTTAAATGTTTGTTTTTTTTTTATAAAAATATTTTTCATGCTTTAGCCAAAACCAATTAACTTAAACTTTCAAACTTAATACAAATTCTAGAAAAACTCAACAAATTTCCATAACGCATTTTACTAAACTTTCATGAGCCATGTAACTACACATCCAAGAATTCAGATTAGAAATTTCAAAGTTTTGATGGAAATTTGTGGCATTTTTCTAAAACTGTTATTAAGTTTGCAAGTTTAATTGTTTTGTTTAAAGCATGAATACTATTTTTACGAAGAATTAAAAAAAATATTTGAAGAAATCACCATACACTCAGTTTTTATCGCCAGTGTATATAAATAAAATTTAGACATATTCATATCTATGTATATACATATGTATATGTACATATTCAGCCTTGAATACGGCTTAAGAATATTTTCAACTACAAATTTTATTATTCGTTCAACTTCGATTCTACTAATCGCCTGTGAAAGTTGAACAATGCTAACGCGCTTTAAGCGAAAAGTGAACGATTTCAGGCGAAAATGGGAGACCTACGCAAGCTTCCGTAGCAAGCGGGGACGCAAAGCCAAAATGATACATACATACATATTTTATTGAGCGAAGGAAATTATAAGTAAGTTATTTAGCAAAACTTGTAAGTATTAACAGTTTTTACTGCACATGGTAAAGTTGCAGTTTGCAAATATTTTATGTTTTCTTTACCTCAACTATCGAGCCAGAAGATGCTGCTTTGTAAGAAAACTCAACTCTTGAGGGAATTTTGTTTACACGGGACGTATTAAAAGGAAATAGTTTTTCTTGTTTTGAGTTTCATCCAAACATCGATATACTTAAAAGTTTCAAAAAATAAACGTGGCATTAACAAGAAAGAAAGTCAAAGCCGAACATTAAAAATAACCGGCGCAAGTATTCAATATATTTAGTTTTTTCACCTTTCCGAAAACTACCGCTACGTGGTAAGCAGGGTGGTTTTACCCCTATTTTAAACAACGTCGATATAACGTTCAGTTAGACATAATGAGATCAACTTATATAGTCATATGTGGGCGGTATCACGCCCACTTTCCAAAACTCCACATAACGTTATTTCTTTTCAAGGGATTGTTGTTAGTATCAATTTTGAGTAAATTAAATTTCGAAATATCGAAGTTTAAAGTATTTCTGAAATGTACCGTTATATGAAAAGTGGCCATAATTTTAGTCCGATTCATAATTTTAGTTGAGTCAATGATTTTCAATCTTTTGCTTTTATGTGGCAATCACAATAACCGTACAGAGTTTGGTACCAAGGCCAACAACTGTACCAAGTTTGGGAGAAATTGGTGGAGCGGTTACCAAAATATACGCATGTAATCAGAATCATTTTCCAAAAATGTATAATATTCTTATTTTTCGTCTAAAAATTATGGTAAATATCAATTTTTAGTGAATAATCCTCAGTAGTTACTAAAATGTCGAAGTTTTCGTATTTCTGAAAACTACCGTTATACGGGAGGTAGGCTGGTTATTATCCAATTTTGCCCATTTCTAATACCACCTGTTTTACGCCCGAAAGATGTATACCAAGTTTCGTTAATATATCTAAATTTTTACTCAAATTATTGTGCGCACAGACGCAAGAACGGACAGACAGTCACCGCTTAATCGATTTCTTTTTTCATTCTGATCATTTATGTATACATTTGTCTATATCTATCTCGATTCGTTTTGCCTGTTACAAACAACCGTTATGTGAACAAAGTTATAATACCCTTATGCACAAATGCGCTCGGGTATATAAAATTTTACCTGATTAAAGCTTAGTATACAGTTCTCAAGAAAAATTCATATAAAATCACACTCAAGAAATGAAAAAGAAATTTTCTTCTATAAAAATTTCCTAAATTAGTCTGAAGATCCCAAGAAAAAAAACGCTCGTATATTTAGTTCTTCAAAAAGTTTACACCAACGGCAAAGTTCTTTTTCAAGCAACAAAAATAATGAAACCAATTCTTGTGGTTTTTCTAGAAAGCTGTAAAACATATGTAATAGAGAAAAACTATGTGACAAAAACAAATGTTATACAACTTATCCAAAGCTTCGCTA